TTACAGGCTATGCTATCATTCTGCAGGCTACGTGGCTTTGCAGGAGGAATAGGACGACGGTGTTACACTGCGCATTTCTGTTTTCTTTAGCAGAATTTAAGATATAACACGGGTGCTCTCATTTCAGTCTGTCTATCACAGTTGTGCGTGTGTTAGGGTGCAGTGCATCACAGGCTTTGATGTAACACCGCACAGACACACACAGACCTCCACACATGTTTACCATACAGATGAGCTCAGAGTGGCAGAAAGGAATGCAGCATGTAATAATAGATCAGCACTCGCTGCCGCAATAAGATGGTTCCAGCTTGAGGAAAAACTTTGGAGTGGCTTGATTTTTAAAGCCTTCAAGGTCCCAAGTGACGGCCTCTGTTGGTCGTGTTAGCTTTTTAAGAAGTGAGTCAGACAGCAGATGCTGCCCTTAGTATGGGTTTCAGATAAAGCATCAGTATGATCAAAGGAAGACTGACCTCAAACACCAAAGTAAATTAGTTTTTCCTTTCTAATATTTACACATGGGGTTAGATAACTTTCTCCCTTTTTATATAAATGGAAAATCATAACTCGAGTTTGTGCCCTCTAAATGGTGCATGAACATGAAAAATTGCAAGTGGTGAGCAAGCTTTCCTGTCACTCATTCTGTTACTTTGCAAATACTTTACTCTGCTTTGTTCTGTTTGGTTTCCTGAAGTTTAAACACTGATAGCTATTTTGGTTTTGAGACACAGTTTCATTGTCCTGTGTGACACTGCAGTTTAGTATCTGTATAAACGGACAAGTTCATATACTCCGATGTGATCCGGGCACATAAACAACTGGTTACAGCTGGCTATTCTTGCAGCCATCACTGTATATTTCTCATGCATTTACTAAGTCAGTGACTTCTGTGCACAAGGCGCCTCGGCACTCGGTTTGAACCCACCAGCTGATTGAGGCCCTTCTATGTGGAGTTTGCCTTTTCTTCCCATGTTTGTGTGGGCAGTTTCTAACCTACCCTCTCAGTCCACAGACTTGCATGTTGTGTTTACTGGTGATTCTAAATTGGCTATAGGTGTCGCTGTGAGCATGCATGGCTGTCTGTCTCACTGTGTTAGCCCTGGATGGACTAGAGACAAGTTCAAGGTGTAACTTGCTTTTTGCCTAATGACAACTGGAAAAGGCCATGAGTCCATATGAGTCTGAATTGGATAAGCTGCTAGGAACTGGATGGACGGCTGGTCTAAACTGAAATTGAAAAATCAACAGTTGGAGTTTTGTAGTTATTAAAGCACAGGTGTCGAACTCCAGGCCTCGAGGGCCGGTGTCCTGCAGGTTTTAGATGCATCCTTGATCCAACACAGCTGATTTAAATGGCCAAATTACCTCCTCAACATGTCTTGAAGTTCTCCAGGGGGCTGGTAATGAACTAATCATTTGATTCAGGTGTGTTGACCCAGGGTGAGCTCTAAAACCTGCAGGACACCGACCCTTGAGGCCTGGAGTTCGACACCCCTATATTAAAGTGTCCAGCATTTGGAAGGCAGTTTTGGAGGATATTTCTGTAGGTTGGGAAAACAGCAGCTACATGTGGCCAAAACTGAAGGGGGAAAAAAATGTATTTTTGTATTTATTGTGACGATAGGCCTCCGTGACTTTGTTTTCACTGTTTAATTTCTAGAACTAAAAAGTCAATTTGCAAAGCACGTCCTAGTTTTAGGCAGCGCCCGACCTATTATCTTGTCTGACAGGTGGTTGCCTTATAACATTCATTTCCATTTTGGCGCTACAGCGTTAGTGGCCAATACTTGACTTCGAAATGAATGATTTAATGAGTTTCTGTGTGCAGTCACGAGTGTAATTGTGTTAAATGATCCAGTACAGTCCTTTGTGTCAATGCCACGGTAGCTTTCTTTTAATCCGCACACCCTTTGGAGATGGGAAAAATTGCAAGGTTTACTCATTCATCAGAAAGCCCGGTGTACTTTACTCAAGTCAAATTTAAAAGCAAACCTTTTCTTAGTGCTCACCGGTGTCCTGCTAGCTCGTTTAATGGCCTGATGTTCTCAATTGCAGACTGTCCACGATAATGTTGTTTCTGGTTCACAAGACTTTAACAACTGTGATAAACATTGATTTAAATTTAGCATCTCTGTGTTCCAGCTGTTTCAAAGTGGTTTATTTGCTTATGAGTGCCAGAAGGAAGTCGATGCTATGTGAGAATGCAAAAACAATCAGTTCTAGACTCAATGTAAATGTTTAATTTATCAGGATGGGGTGAGCACATCTTGTGTTGATGAATGAAGTGGAGCTTTTTCTAATTGATTACTGCATCATGGGCATGTGTCCATATGCACACACGCAGACAGGCAGCTCTCACCCATCTTTGGCTGGAAGCTGTCTAAATGAGTCAGCAGCTGATTGGCCATTAATTGAACTATTGATGGATTTCGGTTAAGACTCTGGCTCTTAGGGATCTTTTATCTTCCTTGCCAAAGTATTTGTTCCCGTATAATTGTATCATCAAATACTTATCGCAACGTTTTGTATGCTTTACTTCTGTATTAACGACTGCATTAACTAAGTAGGAAGTTGGCTGATTCAAACACTGACCAAGCATTCATTTCAGCATTGTGGCTCCTTGACGTCTGGGTTTTGTTGCTCTGTGGTTCAAAGGATGTGTCCTATTTATTTTTTAAAAAGATCCATGAGGAAACTTTTTCTGATGAGCTTATTAGTTGGTCACTGACCATGGCATAGGAGATGATTAAACTCCCTCCCTTATAAAGCTGAACAGCCATCAATGAATCACAATTTCAGACACTGATATATAAACATAGACAGTACGATCGAAACAAATCGGGTAGTTCAATAGTGATCCAGCAGTGCAGTATGACAAAGCCTTTTCAACAGGAACTGATACACGTTAAACTATGACTAATGGAAATGAAACTGATTCACTGTGACTTTCATGAAGATGAGGCCAAAGTGGGATTCAGGTCTGACGTACATTTAATACTGGGCAGAATTACATAATCCACAAGTTTCACTTTGATTCCTAACAGGCTGTGCTTATGCTTTCTCTTCACTACAGCCATCTAGGGTACTGACCAGTAGTTTTAACAAACACAGAAGCCTAACCAGTTTGCTAAAAGTAGTGAATACATGGTTAGCTAACACTAGCAAATAGCAACTCAAAAGTAAGTAGAAAAAATATGTAAATAAATATAGGAAAATTCTCAGTGTAGCTGAGATTCATTCATATGATGTTGATGTCATTTCACTGAAGATCTTACACCGCTTTTAATCTAAACAGTAAAGCACAAGAATACTCCTCAAAGGAAAGCAATGGTTTGCTATGATGTGTTTAGGTGAAAGCTATCTGGGTTTAGATCTCTGTTCACAGTTTCTACTCAGTGATAATGTCAGTAACTGCACCTTACAGCTCACGAAAAGGATTTCTCTACTGAGTAATCAGAAAATAATGAGAAAAATCCAGGGATAGTGCTTGAAAGGAAAAGGAAATGTATGAAGTTTTGCTACTGAAATTGAATTTTTCAAATTCTTTTATTAGAAAAAGCAGAAAAACAGATAAAACACTTTTTTAAAATGTCAAATGGTATGGTCATTTGACCTGATATAAAAAAAAATGGCATAAAAACCTTGAATTCAGTTCCATAAATGTGTAGTCGTCTTTTTCTGAATGACCCAGGATGATTAAATCTTTAACCCAATCAGGCTGGTTTGGTTTTTGTATAATGGCTCAGACTACAAATGACTTGTGAGGCATTACAAGTTGTCATCTTAGTGTTTTCTACCTTTAGAATTAGGGATCACTCCACACTTCTCTCCAGTGGTGTTGGCTTTAAATCACCTCATTAATCTCCTTCCTTTGCTGAAGATGTCCGACCAGGCTGCGCCCATTAGGTAAAATCCATTATACACGGCTGTGGTGAGACGGAACACACAGAGGAAACAATTTGTGTGCGACTGTCTTCATGCAAGTGTGTGTGTGTGTGTGCACTCCCAGTTGCCCTGTTGAGCACGTAAATTTAAATGAGGGCCACGCTGACAACCGTGATTTCTCAGAAAAGACCTTAGAGGGTCATTTGCCTGCATGTACAGCTTGTTTATGTGATGCCTGGTGTTGTCCCTCTGCCTTCTTAAGTGGATTTTCACTGATGAGCACCAATGAGCATGCATGTATCTGTGTTTGTGTGTGCGCGTGCGCGTGCATGCACGGGTCTGCGCTGTAGCCTCGGTATGACGTGAATCATCTTCCATTCATCCTCGAGTTATTTTCAGCCTTAATGAAACACCTGAGACCAGTCGACAACTTCATATCTTTACAAACATTCATAAAACCCATAACTAAGGGATAATAAGCTACTGTGGGCCTATCAGTTGCACTCCTATGCACACATACTATCATGTAATTGCTCGCATTGCTGATCATTTGTCCCATTTACCTATCGATACATTTTAGACATTTTATGCTTGCATGCCCAGTTTTAAGCCAAATTGTGCACCTTCATAACTGATATTTTTCAAGTATTTTAACATTTAAGAGTGTGTAGTTTTCAAAATAAGAGCCAATTTAACCGGTAAATACATGCAATTACTGCAGAAATAACTGTTGAATGTAATCATTTAGCTAGTTTAGCTCTATTACAAGATCTCAGAAAGCAAAAACATCAGTATATGAGTACCAGCCTCACATATGTGTTTCTGTGGCTTCTTCTCATTCATTCAGTTTGTAGCTCCTAATATATTTATATTTATATATATATATATTTTTTTTTAAATTTGTGTCTTTTCAGAGATCAGGGCCCAGTTAGTGGAGCAGCAGAAATGTCTGGACCAGCAGACAGAAATGCGGGTCCAGCTGCTGCAGGACCTCCAGGATTTCTTCAGGAAGAAGGCGGAGATTGAGATGGAGTACTCCAGAAACCTCGAGAAGCTGGCCGAACGCTTCATGGCAAAGACTCGCAGCACTAAAGATCACCAGCAATACAAGTGAGAGGAAACTGTCTCGATGTTTGTCTGTCGTCAGTGTGTTTCTTATGTAACACGGGTCCAACAATAACCTTTAACTGTTGCTCTGTAATTCTAAGCTTTTCTAGATTTTGCCTCACAAATATGGATGTAACAAATCTCTAAATTAATCAGATCAGGCATTGGCTAGTTCACCAACCAGGCAGTTTTTCTATTGGTGTTACCTGACCTCATTCTCTGTTTACGTCCCAGAAATGGTCATACAAAAAAGGTCCAAAATCATCAGGTTCCTACAATGTGTGTACGGCCAAATTTGTTCTTATCACTGTGCGTTATTGGTGAATCATAATTATACAGGCCCAGTTTAGTGGTGAGGTTGTTTTAACAGAGAAATCTGCCTTGTTAAAGCAAGACGAGGTCTAACTAAAGAAAAACAGGATAGTGTCAGAGGAGGAATTTGAAAAGGTACATTTTCCAGTGTCTTTCATGACAATTTGTACTGTTTGAATGTGTAGAACCATGTAGTGTTTTATATTAATATATTGAATATTACATCATCGTAGCAGAGGAGCTTCTTGAATAATCCATCTTGACTTTTCATTTTGCATTTCTGTGTGTGCCACAATAGACACAAGCCTAAGTAATGAGGACAAAGTGCTGTGAATGTCATCATAAGGACATATTAGAAGTTATCTAATGGATGGGGTATTATTTTGATACAGTTGCTAAATATATTCTAAAATTGGCAAAGCTGTTATAAAACGGATTAGAGTTAAGATCTTTGACAGTTTCTGTACTTTATATTTTGGATATTTGGATATATTTAGTTCTCAAGGAGTATTTTTGTTTGGTATCTACCCTTAAACAAAAATACCAAAGTGTAGTGAGAAGAAAAACTGTTTGCTTTCATTCTGTTTGTCTTCTTTCTCGCCCTGTCCTCCTCCCTCTTCTTCCGCTGTATTTATTGTGCATCGGTTTGTCTCGGAGGCTTTTTGATCGATTTTGACACAGTTAAGTATAGTGTGCTTTTTGGCCTTATTAGTAGGAGGTGGCTCATGGAAAAAGCAGACATTAGCATATCGTTTGAACTTGTGGTGGAGCAAAAATAAAATGTATGTTTGTCCTCGCTGTCTGCAAATAGCCCCTGCTCTCTGTCTGAAGTTCCAATGGCTCTAGCAGCTGTGCGTGCCCATGTGTGTAACCAGTGAGAAGACTCTGGTATGGCACTCTGTGGTTTTCATTGTATGATGTACAGTCTGGTCACTTCATTCACAGGGTAAACATTTGGCATCTGCCTAGGAGCATATTTCTTAAGTAAATATAAGACGTTTGAATAACATTAAGAATTCTCCTGCGGGTGTTAAATCATGTGGCCCATATTTTTGTGTTCACATAAGCACGTACAATAAGGCTTCAGTATTCTCCAGGCTGTTTTCATTGGACAAATTTGTCTGTGGTGTGAAAAACTGTTTTTATTCTGTCTGTAGCATGATGTCCATTTTTATTAGCGATGCACTGGTTCTATTAGCAAAAGCTAAGGCGTCGAAATAATGTTTGCAAATACTAGATAATAACGTAATATTTGTTTTAAGGGTCTAGGAGTTCATTGGTCCCATATCAGACAACACCAAGCTCGGCTTAAATACTATTTATTCAACTTTGTAGCAAATACATGCGTCAGAGAATATTAGTTTACTGAAATAAGTATTTACATCATTTACCTAAATTATTTAAGTTGAGTGTGAGAGTTAGTTGGTTCCTGCATGCTGGTTTTAAAGTTTTGCTACTTTTCTATTTCCTGCTCTTACTGTGAGTGTAGATTTGACCACAATGCAATTAGTTAAAAAATATTGAAGGCATAAAAAGAAAAGCTGTTGTGTTGAGTGCGAAATGCTTTCAAACTGTTGACCCTTTGCAGTTTGCTTCCTCTATGCTGTTAGCTCTCCTGCTAGCAATTGATACACTGCTGCTGCCAGCTAGCACAGTAAGCAGAGAACAACTGAAGTGACCTGATGGCCCCATAAATCTGACCTTTGTCACTGATACACGATCCAGCTCTTTGAGTCAGGAGTGGACAGAGATTGTTTCCAAATATTAGGTACGTCACTAGTTTTGAAATTAACTTGGGGGAAAAATTGGTAAAGCAGCGAGTTAAGGTCTTAGTTAAACAGTATTAGAAGCTGATCAGTGACCCTTCTGATAGTTGGTGAGTGTTTGCTAGCGTGAAATTGGTCGCAGAGAGGTATATGGTGCTGCACCAAAAACCTCCATGTGATTGTGAAGTGAAGACACTTGCAAACTACTCGCCAAGTCCTAGTGAAACTCTGAAAAATGCAGCACAAACCAGAAATGGTGAAAGTTCACTTTCAAGGCACAACATTTACAACAGTATATGCTTTACTTTTCAGTTGCACGACAGCACACAACATAAATATCAAATGCTGACGGACAAATCGACATATTTCATGCAAATTACAGGTGACTGTGGCAGCCTGCTAGTGATCAAAACAATCACAACACCTTCGTTATGACCATTGTCACCTTGCAACAGCCAGCAGCCACTCACCAACCAGTTGGGAAATGCAGATTTCTCTAGTAATTGGGAAAGCCAGATGATCTCTGACTGAGGCTTAAGGAAGGCTATGGAATCATCCACAATGGCAGATCAGTTCATCTACATACTTCAGATCCAGCTTTCTGTGTATGGACATGGTCGGGCAGGGAGCTAATATTGCTAAATTTAAACTTCTGCTTATTTTGACTGTATTGCTCCTGGTTGAAGTATCGTCCTTTAATCAGCAGCTAAATCTAAGAACTGGTCAAAACCAGCTGTATTCACAAAGTGTTGGCAATGAAGCAGTGTTGTTGAGTCTGGTTTGCGTAGCAGGTTTTGAGATAAGCGTTCAAGATGTCATTCTTTTTAGTTAAAAATGCATTTTTGACATATTCAGTTTCTTTGGAAAGTTCCCTTGTAGGCAGCTTCAAGCCTCATCCCATGGGTATTTGTTTTAGTTGCCTCTAGGAAATGGGGCAAAACACAGGTGGTGGTTGATGCTATGCTTCTGTGATCCCATACCCCCTTCGTATAAACCATGTTTCTGTGAAGCTATAAAGACACGATGCCACAATTTCCTTCCACCAGTCTGCAAACATTGCCATGTGTGATTTTGTTTGACAAGACTAAACCTAGTTTTCTGCTGTTGGAAGGCAGCTATGTTGTTCTTGAACCATTTACGTGTTACCATAAAGTTCTCGAGCTATTCCAAGCTACGAAAAAGTTTTGACACAGTAGGAGTTCAGTCTTTCTCGGGGGTGAAATGAAGTTTGTGCACATCTGAAAGCACAGACTTTGTGCGACCTGTGGGAGTATTGCGGTTGCTCGCTGCTGGAGAGGAATGCTTCTTGCTTCGGGGGTGCCCTGTACTGAGCTGAGCTATACCTGTGGAGTCTAGGGAGACTGCAGTAGAGGTCTGCTGAACTCTAAAATAAAGGTTTTCTGAAGACTGTAGCCACATTTGAAAATGGCCTAACGCAAAAAAAAAGTGTAATTTTTAAAGTAATGGTGCTCGTTTCTGCTTCTCAACATACTTCAGCATAACAAAAGAGATAACAATAATAATAAATATGTGAAAATAACGTCTTAAAGGCATCATTACTTTTGATCATTATGTAGTTTAGTATTTTTCTAAGCCACTGCCTGTTCTGAGACTCTTGTTGTCCAAGAGAACTTTTGTTTTACGGTTAACTATGAAGAGATCATTGTGTAGTTCTGTTTTTAGGTTTTGTTCTTCAGCCTTCATTATAGAAGTAAACGCAGTGCACAGCATTGGAAAAAATTGTCCCAATTAAACGTAACAATTAGCAGCTATAAAGTCAAATTAGGACACTTTAGAGAACACATGCTGTTAAACATGTTGGTCTAAGCAAAAGTGTAATAGATATGAAAACTTTCAGAGCTTTAAGTTTCCAGGATGTTTGGCAATGCTGCAGTAAAGCAGACAGCAGCAGCTTCTGAGTGCAGCACATCAGCTTTGAAAATGAACGGGCATTAGGACACTTCAGAGCCACCAGTTTAGTTTTGGGTTTTTTGTGGGGGGGATCTTCTTGAAAGAAAACAAAATTACAGTGCTGTCCACTGCAGCACTCTGTGGGAGAGCCATCCATTTGTGTTTCAGCGGCTGTTTGCAGAACACACACAAATGAACAAATATGGGCAAACACTCTCTTCTCTCTCTCCCCCAGTCTTTCTTAAACACACACATGCAAACAACCAGATACTGTATTATGCAAGGTTTGTTCAGGGAGGGGACGTGGAATCGGAGAGCAAAAGAATAACTGAAATATTTATGTAGCATCAGCCACAACTGGGATTGTCTTAAATATGCTGCTTTTATCTGAAATTAAGCCGCTGGTTAGAGGACTTCCTCACTTTGTCTCAGAGGATTAGCGGGAGGTGTGGAAAACATCGTGGCTGCTTAGTCTGTGTAATGCCACACATAACTACCTGCTGTCTAGGGAAAACTGCTGACGCATTCTCATTTGATTAAGTTCAACTTTGTTGGGATTCTTTCACAGGACCAGTGATGAAGAAAATGGTGCATTTCCTGTGGTCATTATGAGCCTTTGGCATTCTGTTGCTTCCTTTTAAAATGTAAATGTGTACTCAAATAAGCAGAAAGACTGCACCGCGAGTCACCTTCGTTGGTGCCGGAGATTTGTGCACTTTAAAGTGAAACGTTTTGGGGGTTTTGTTGTTGTTGTTTTTTAAATCAGTGTGGCACTAGACAACTTTGCTATTTTGCCATTTCTATTGATAAGACCTTCTGTTTAAATACTGTACACACTGAATTGGTATCCTTCATTTTTAGTGTCATCCTGCTGTATGAGAGTGCAAGTATGGTGACATTGTTCCTCTGTCCCCCCCCACCCCTCTTCTACACACGAGTTCCTCTTTTCATACCTGTGTTTGGCTCTTGTGGGGAGTCTTGTCTATCTGTCACTATTCTGTCTGACCCAGTTCCTGCCCTGGCTGAGGGGGAAATGATGACAGTGAGAGACTTTCCTGCCATTATATGTGGGGTTAGCAACTCCCAGGGGGTTATGTTGTCACAGCCTGTGTGGGTTTCCCACTTGTTTTTGTGCCTGTCCTCTTTATACTTTGTGAACGGGCTGACCCTACTAAATCAAACTTTCTTTCTTTTCTTTTTCTTTTTTTAAACAAATTGATTTAATTTGATAACATGTGCTACACTGTTACTTATGCTACGTTATTCTTTAAATGTTTCAGATTTAATCAAATTTCATGTGAAAGGTGGATGCCGTTTTTGTTGGATGCCCTGGATGTTATTAGCCATGTGCACATGGGTTACAGGTTACTTCTGGTGTTAAATTAGGTTAAACTTAGTAATGCTGTCCTACTTCAGACAGTACAGTGGGGGTTTTTTTCCAGCCTGAGGAGTCAATTTACCAGCATTAAATTGTTTAGTGGCTTGTGGCGTTTTATGTCCAGCTTCTTGTCAGTGACCTACAGAACATTATTCATCTGGACCTGAGAACATGAGTGAATTAATAAACACAAACTAGTACTGTTCCCACAAGTCTAGATTGAGTGCTGTAGAATGGATCTGATACATAATGCAGAAAGGATTTCTATAGTAATTGCTCTTTGACAGATGGTGAGTGATGCCGTCGAGCACAGTTACTGCTTGAGTGAGTGTGAGAATCTATATTTTTCTCCGTGTGTAAAAGTTATTTATACACAAAAATGTGGTTAAAACATGTATTTGTGCTAAATGGCTCATTTTACCATGACTTCACATGGTGCTGTGAGGGAAGGTACAGTGAACTAACTTGCAATGAAGGGCACATTCACAGGGCTGACGTCAGGGACAGCTGAGGAAAGCAAATCAGGGAACTAATGTATTAAAATGATATGCCGCTGCTTTGTGATGCCACCATTATCACAGGCAATGTATTGCAATACTATTGTCTTAAAATGTAGTTATTTTCTGATTCCCAACCATACTGGACATGTTATCATGTTCGTCTGGTTTCTTTGAAAAACGAATCCCCTTGGATGTTTTTCATGTCTGCGTAGTTGTCTTCCTGTTTTTGCTTAACCTCAGGAAACATTTCAGCTGTTTGGAATGTTTGCATCAGTTGTTCATTTTCTTCATTTTTGCTCACCAAGCAGATGTGGTGCCAATGTTGAAGGCTAGGTCAGGGCTGGGCAGCTTTGCCAAGTGTAAAGTTTCACCTGTTGCGTTGACAAATGTTGTCCGTCTTTGCAAACTTGGAGAGGTGCAGAGGCGAGTCTCCATATGGTTCCTGAAAGACTTGACCCAAGACCCAGCTTTCAGTTCTCTCCCAAGCACACACACACATGTGCACAAGCATGCACACTTATATTCTGTGTCACTTTTTTGCAGGCAGCAGGAATGTTATAGATTAACCCAGAGGAAGTCCGCTTGCGGACCACTGCTTACACAGGGCCCCAGCTCACTCTGGTCTGGACAATGTCCTACAGTTAGCCTGGCTGCAGGCGGCACACAGCGCAGGAAACGCCTCTCTGAATTCTGTGTTTTTATTTGAATTCTTTTCTATTATTATCCACTATTCTGCAGCTTCTCTTCTTTTCCTTGTCTTTCTTGTTCTTTTTGCAGTTTTACTCTACTCTTCAAGTTCACCTACAACATATACATGGCTTCTTTAACACCAGTCTACACAGTGTATTTATAGTCTTAGGGACACTCTTCCCTGGTTTTAGAAAATCATTTTTGCTCAGAGCATTGTAGCTCTGCCCTAGAAATGTCACTGATATTTCCAAGTTAGCTGTGTAGTCCTTGTAATATTTGGAGAATCTTTTTGGCCCAGAGCCTGTGGTGCATGGGACATTTAACACCCTGGGACGCCTATGATGAATCTGTCTTCTGCTTTAGTGACGAGCACTGGTGCTCTTGAGGTTTTTTATGGGTGCTCTTGAGGTTTTTGTAAACATCCTGCTTGTCACGATCTCCTGCATTTAGAAAAAAAGAGGAAATGCTGTCTAAACCAGCCAACAGTTGCCAATAGGAAAATGTTCAGATGAATGCATACAGATATTTTGTACAGGCCTGCAAGGTTATTTTGATAATAGTATTGAAGTATCAAATTGTTTTGGGGGCAAATAGATCTTTCTAAACAAAGAATGTCTCATTTAGCTCCTGAATTTTCACAGCAGCACAACAGCTTGGCTTGGAAGTAATGGGTGGTTAACAGTGTAGTGTGAATGAGCCACATTTCAGTCATTCTTTTGTCTGGCAAAAAAAGACAAGTGCTTTAATGGGAATTTGTTGCATTAAATACAACAAAAAAACCAAAAGACCTTAGGTTGCACTAATTATTCTAAAACGATATAAATAGTAAATCCTCTTTAACTCTGTAAAATGAATAAAGTGAATTTTACTCCATGATATGTTCAGTCTGGCACAAAAGTTAACCAAGGAATACCTCCGTTATAACCATTACTTTATAATTTTTCATTTTCATTCCCTAATTTATCTGAACTCTTATTTCCATTGGTTTACTCAGGAAAGACCAGAATCTGCTGTCACCAGTCAACTGTTGGTACCTGCTGCTGAACCAGGTTAGGAGGGAGAGTAAGGACCACGCAACACTGAGTGACATCTACCTCAACAATGTCATCATGAGGTTCATGCAGATCAGCGAGGACTCTACACGGCTACTCAAGAAGGTGAGGGCAGAAAGGGCAAAGTAGTTTTTAGAGTTGAGGCGGTGC